TTATTTATTTTTAGTTTTCAACAATGCAGACCAATATAATACTATTCAACAAATATTTCTGTTGTTGTTTGGTCATTTTCAGTAGTGTCCAGTAGTCCAGTAATTCTTAAATTATCTCTCCTGGATCTATTTTTTTTGACAAAATACCTCATATTTTCTTCTTTTTTCCCCCATTCTTTTGAATTTATTTTATTGTTTCTTGATATATCATGGAGTCATTAGCTTCCAGTTTCCCAATTCTAATTTTCAAGGAATTCTTTTCTTCAGCGATTTTTTTGTGCCTCTTTTCCCATAAGACCAATTTTATTTTTTAAGATGTTATTTTCCTTAGTATTTTGGTGCCCTTTTTACCAAGCTATTAAATCTCTTTTCACAATTTTCTTGCATCACAAAAAAAAAGAATGAACATAATTTTCTTGCATCACTCTCATTTCTCTTCCCAATGTTTCCTCTACCACTCTTAGCTCTTTATTTTTTTTCTGGGAATTCTTTATGTGCTTGGCTCCAATTAACATTTTTCTTTGAAGCTTTGCTTACAGCTATTTCCACATTGTTGTTTTTTTTCTGAATTTATGTTTTTGTCTTAGTTGACACAGTAGTAGTTTTTATGGTCATTCTCCTTTTTTGCTCATTTTCCAGCCTATTTCTTCATTTTGAACTTCATGTTAAAGTTGGGTTCTATTTACCTGGATGTGGAGAGGCAGTGTCCTAAATTTCAAGCTTTTTTGTGCTGCTGTTTTCAGAGCTAGTTCTGAAGGCCTGCAAGTTTTTGGTTTTTCCAAGGTGGTATCCTGGGAGAAGTGTGGTTACTGCTCTCCTGGTCTGTACATGTAGTCTTTTCTTAGCAAATGTCCTTGTTCCCCTGCAGCTGCAAGTACTAGTGCTTTTATTCACTCTGGAATTGTGACCAGGGCACCTGCTCCCTTATGACCAACCACAAGCACTCCTCTCCTCCATGGAACTGGGACCCAGAACCATTTATGAGCAAAAGTTGCCAATCAGTGCCAGTTACAATCAGTGCCAGCAAAGGGTCCTCTATACTCTCTTTCTGACCAGTTATTTAACCACTTACACTATCTTGACTGGTAGTTCCTAAGGATCTTCAGAACTCTTAAGTTGTCTCAGGATGGAAAAATGTCTCCCTCTGACTTTTTGTTGGCTTTGCTGGTCCAAAATTTTATTGAGGTCTAATTTTAAAGTTGTTTGGAGGGGAATGTCGGGACAATTCAGCTGAGTCCTGGCCTGTACTCCACCAACATATATATATATATATGTGTATACACATACACATACACATACATATACACATACACATACACATACACATACACATACACATACACATACACATACACATACACATACACATACACATACACATACGTATACGTATACACATACACATACACATACACATACACATACGTATACACATACACATACACATACACATACACATACACATACACATACACATACACATACACATACGTATACGTATACACATACACATACACATACACATACACATACACATACACATACACATACACATACATATACACATACATATACATATATACATATACATATACATATACATATACATATACATATACATATACATAATTTCTTCTTGTTATAATACTGAAACTTCCATGAGTTACTATAATGGGATGGAAGTATAAAAGATCTTGTTGTTTTTATTTTTACTCTTCTGATTTTGTGGCTACTGCTTGCTTCAACTTCCTAAACTAAGCAACTAGGACAAATTAATTCTTAGGCTTGCTATCTCTTTGATAATAGTTACATATTTGTATATGAGGTTTGTTTTTTACAGTATCACATCTTTCTGGATGGCATAAAGATAATTATTTATCTATTTAATCTCAAAGGGAATAGGATGATTTTAATTTTTAATTTTTTAACTTCACTTTAGGGAAAGCAACAAAATTAGGCTGCTTCCACTTGAGAACTAGGATAATTTGCTTCCAAATGTGTTCTATTAAAAACGGTAACAAAAGGTCAAATAAACTTGATGTTCCAAGATGATATTTTAAAAAATCATCCTTGAGGTAATAAAGAACAAGACTGGGAAAGGTAGAGTAAAGTACTGAGTTTCTTTTCAGGTCCATTTGAATATTTACAGATGCTTACCATACAGATGCCAAATCTTTGGATATGTTTTAGTATTTGTTTATAAGGTCTCAAGTTGGATTGAGTATTTTATATATAAAATTGCTTTAATAGTCGTAAAGGAACTTTTAAATCATGCTCTTTTTTCCTATTTGAAGTTTTTCTTTGACAATATAGACAGAGGACAATTTTTATAGTCAGTTCCTCATGGATCTTTTTTTATATTCTTCCTCTAGCCTAAAGACAGCATTTTCTACACCATGAATAGGGTTCAGGTGAACAAAAATCTCTCTAAACTTTTGTATGGGTTACAAGTTACCTAATCTGATATTCTTCCTACAGTACTGATGTTCATAAGGTTAACTCCATTACCTTTGAACTGCTTTCATGATGAACCTAGTTATTGGAAGGTCAAATGTAAAGAGCTTTTACAGACTTTACTCTTATTGTTTAGTCACTGTTTCATCTGTGTCTGACTTCATGACCTCATATAGGGTTTTCTTGGCAAAGATACTGGAGTGGTTTGCCATTTCCTTCTCCAGCTCATTTTACAAATGAGAAAACTGAGGCAAACAAGCTTAAGTGGCTTGCCCAGGGTCACATAGCTAGTAAGTATCTAACAAGGTGGATTTGAACTCAGAAAGAGGAGTGTTTGCATAGTGAGCATATGTTCTCTTAAATGTTGTTTATTCCTTCTCTTCTTCAAGATTATCTTTGATTTCTGTATATTTGCATTCCCAATCTATTATTGTCTCTTTTGTTTCTTTGATAAGGCTTGCCATTGCAGATTCAAGATTTTCTATTTTGCTCATTCTCTGCATTCCAAAGCAGACACTGTATCCACTTCACCACCTAGCTGCCCCATCAGACCTTATTAAATTTTATTCTTTTCATTAGAAGGTTTAGACAACATGGCCACAAGTGACCTGGAACCTGGAAAGTGGTTAAGGAAATGTTTCTACAAACTTGTGCTGGAAACAATATGAAAAGGTCCACTTCAGGTCCTGTTAACAACTAACAAACCAGTTAAAGACACTGAGATGTTGATTTAGGGATACCTGTCTCTGAGTTTGAGAGGATCAAACTGGATAATTTATGGACAGTCATCAAGGATAAATGCCTTTGACAAAGAATTTCCAATAGAAAATGTTTCTCAGAGGCAGATGAATTCATGAAGTAGACAGCTAAACCCAAGACAACAAGAAGAAATCTTCCATTTAAATGGACATTGACTGAATATTACCCATATGTGTTTGACCAAACCCTTAACCATTTCCCAGTACCTGAAATGCATTGGGAAGTTAGAGAAAGGCCTGGAGGAGATTCAACATTATGATTAGGACTTTTGGGGTTAGTTTCCAGGATCAGACTGGATAAGGCAGTTTTGGTTACCTCGTGTTTTATTCTACTAATAATTGTTGTTGTATTAATTTTTCTTTATTGTAGCATTCAGTGCTTCCTAATGCTTGCATCTGCCTGTGGAGATGTGTGCCAGAAAAGGTATATAAAAGGTAGCCCAAGAAGTAATTAATAAAATGTATAAGAATATGGTCCAAGATTCATCACAAATACAATTTAGGACCAAAAGTGGGTATTGTGATAGGAGAAAGAATGCAATGAGATAGAAATGCTGGTTCAGATTTCTTGACATTGCTATGATAGGACACTGATGTAGTTTCTGTTTCAAGCTTCTAGTCTTTATTTTTGGAAACTGGAAGAATATAATACCTGCAAAATCAAAGCTAGGAAAGAAGCCACAGCCCCTTTCTAGATTAGCTATCAGATATCTCTATCTTTCCCTTTCTGTCACTTGTTCCCACACATGTATATCTTTTATTTTCTCTTCCTGATTTCTATAAAATTCCACTTTTATATACAGCTTATATTCACGTTCTCTGTAAGGTTGAAGCTAACGCTCTTGGTTCTGATTTTTTATACAGATGAGAATCCTCTCTGAACATAAATAAAATCTGCAAATGACCACCTCTGCCTGTTGATTTGGTGATGGGCACAAGTACCTAATCTATTTTCTATCACAAAATCATCTAGTCCAACCCTCTCATATTACAGAAAATTGGAAAAGAGGGTTCAGAGGAATTTAATGACTTGCCCAAGGTCCAACACCTTCATTGGCAGAATTGAAAACCAAACTTCCTGACTCTCAATATGGTATTTTTACCACTAGATTTGGATCATCAACTAATGATTAGTTGAATCAGAGGTGTATTCAATTTTCAGTCCTACATTACTGAATGTAATGTTACCTGAATGTCTTTTTGTTCAGTCATTTCCTGTCGTGTTCGACTCTCCTGACACCATTTGGGGTTTTCTTGGCAAAGATAACTGGTGTGGTTTGCCATTGCTTTCTCCAATGAGGAAACTGAGGCAGACAGGATTAAGTGACTTGCCCGAGATTCACACAGATAATAAGTGTCTGAAATCTGATTTGAATTTGGAATGATGTCTACCTGACTCCAGGTCTGGCTCTTCATTCTCTGCAACACCCCAATTATTTTGCTAATTCAACATATATCAAACACTATGTGTAAGGAACATAATACAAAAACGGACACTCATGACATCACCTTAAAAATTTAACGGCAGAAAAATCAATCATACCATTCGCGTTTGAAGCACAACGGATTCAATTTTTTAAAAAGTCAGCTAAATAGGCAAATTAAATTCACAATTAAAATTTATTCCATGGTTTTATACAGAAGAAATGTCATATGAAAATGGAATTCTCTTTGATCCAACAACCAACTCGTCAATCAATCAGTAATCAACGACCCTTACACAAAAACAAACACACGCACGCACGCACGCGCACGCATAAGACCTCAATGTCAGCGAGAGGGCAGAAAGCACTCGGGGTAGAGGGAGGATGTTGAGGGAAGTTTAGGGTCCAGAGTCGTAAGTGAGGTAGGTAGTATAGGGGTGGGGGAAGGACAGAATGCGAACCCCGCCTCAAGCTTCGATAAGTGGGCAGAAACAGATGCACACCCTTGCAACACAGCAGATTCTCTTACCTCTCTGCTGCTACCTATCCCTGAATTGACTCAAGAAGGGCAAGGAGGATCCCAGTTCCTCTGCAGCTACCTGTCTATCCCAAACCCGCGCTACCTTATTATTTAGTGTTCGGCCAGCAACCAACCCAGAACGAATATTGAGGAGAGGGGAGCATGATTTTTACTAGTGGAGAAGTACCTTTTTTTTTCCTTCCTCTCCTTCCCCTCCCCCCTTCTTTACTGTCTCGCCCTAGATCTCCTTAGTTAATGCAACTCTCTGTAGCTTTAAGAAGGCTCCAGCATCTCTCCCTCATCTATCCTTTCCTCTCCTCCAGCTATGGGGCTAACTTGGGGTTCCTAGGAGTTAGTGGTTCCCAAGTGCTCCCAGTCAGCAAAACTCCTGCAGCCAGGTGATGATTTAGAAAACAAAAGAAGGTATCAGACTGAGTTCGAGAAGGGGTGGGTGGGGAGATATAAGGAAAAAGAAAGAAAAAAGAAAGAGGAAAAAGAGGAGAGAAGAAAGAAAATGAGTTTCCCCGAGGACGGGGTGAGCAACCTGTGTCAGAAGGCGCTGCACATCGTAGCGGAGCTCTGCTTCGCGGGCCAAGTGGAGTGGGAGAAATGCTCTGGCATCTTCCCCCAAGACAAAGCCAACCAACGTGGAGGAATTACAGGTAACAAAGAAGAGGGAAAAAACCGGGTCAAAGGGCGGGAGGGCTCTGCCTATTTTCTTCTGCATCTTTGTCTTCCCTGTCTCCAAACTCCTTGCCATCTGCCTGTTGCCTTCCCACCTCAGGCTCTGGTTTCCTTCTTTCCCTCCATAGTCTCGTCTGCGATCTGCCCCCGGTTTATCCTGCTGTTGTTGAGCTTTCCTCACGGTCCCACTCTCATTCAGCCTTTTTCTGGGCAGTTCTCGCCTTGTATCTCATTTTTTCTACTTTTCTCCAGGTTTCAATTCTAACTGCTTGGCTGCCGTATGTTTTAGCTTTTTGCTTCTCTTTCCTCCCTCCCTCCCAACGTCTTTTCTAGTGCTGCCAAATTCCCGCCAGAGTGGGTCTGAGCCAGTGCGGTGGTTGCGCTGATTGTACTCCAAGGTGTGTGGGAGGTCTGCGGAGGTTGAACTTTGTTCTTCCTCTCTTTCCCTCTTGGATAAAAAGTGACTTGGGAGATAGGTATCCAGCAAGAGAAAGCTCCCCTAAAACACAACAAAACAAAACAAAAAAAGCCTTGCAGTGTGGCAGAGGCCCAGGACCCTTTTTAGCCTCTGAGAGTAACAGATATCTGGAAGGAAGTAGCTTTAGGGGAAACAGAAGGGCATTAGGGACAGGTAGTCTATTCCAGTTGATGTGGCTTACATTTATATAATACGTTCAAATTTTAAAATGTTTAATGTATAGCTTTATAGTAAAGGGGGATGGCAGGGTAGGTGCTGTTATCTCCATGATTCAGAGGAAATTGAGCATCACTATGATTTGACCAAGTGGACTTGCTGAAAGTCACTTGCACATCCAGGCACAGATGGTAAATGATGGAACTAAGAACCCAGGTCTTCTAACTCCTGGTCCAGCCCTTCAGGAGCCCTGAGTAGGAGTATGATCAGGGACAGGTGGTGGAAAAAGGACTAGTTCTGGAGTCAGAAAACCTGGGTTCAGATTTCACAACTCTGTTCAAATTCCACCTAAGGAAAATTTAAAAAAAGGCAAGTCAGTAAGGATTTATTAAATGACTCCCATGTGTCTGGTGCTCTGCTAAGTGCTAGTGATAAAAATAAAGGCAAAAAGAGTTCTGGTTCTTAAGGAGCTCACAGTATAAAAGGGGAGAATACCTATGTGCAAATAAGGTATATACTAAGGCTAAATTGGAGCTGGTCTTAGAGGGAAGAGACGTACATTGGATGTAGAGGGGGAGATTTGTGCTGAGGAAGCCTAGAAATATAAATGAGGGACAGAAAATGCATAAGGAGATGGAGTCTTATTTGAGGAACAAGGAGGCCAGTGTCACTACAAGGGCAAGTGACTTAGCCTCTCTGGGCCTTAGTTTCTTCATCTGTAAAATTAAGGAGTTGGACTAGATGGCCTTGGAGTTCCATTCCAACCTTAGATCCTATGAAAACAGCAGAAATTGGATAGTAAATTGTGCTGTGTAGTGGTGATAGAGGAAACTAGAAGAGGATGAGAAGATAATCCCATAATATCCAAAGTTGCTTAGTGCTTAAAGAAATAGTATTCTGAAATTTTGAAAACCACTTTTTGTATTGAGGCAAATCAGGTCTCAGACTTTGCAGCTACATTCTCCAGAGATATTTTTTGTTCAGAGGGCTTGGTTAAAAAATAGGATGAAGTAAATTACAATGAAGACTTCTAAATGACATTTCCCTCTCATCACTTCCTACCATTTCCTACACCTACAACCTATAGGTTGAGGTTAGTTACTGAAGCATCAGATTTTGTGAAAGCATAACCTCAAAGCTGAAAGTAGTATATGATATGATACCATTTGGAATTGGAGGAGGGCAAATCTTTAAGAAATGAGTGTTTGTTTTTAAAGGGACTGAGAGACAAACTGGCCAAAAGTATTAACCTAAAACTCAGGATCATGGTAACATATACAAAAGAAAATTGTGTTTGTACCCTAGTACTATCTACAACCTATTGAGGTGATGATTCTGAAGTATATTGTGAATAATATCTAATTGCTGCTATAAAAGTGTTTAATAAGATTAATTTTTTTGAGAAATACAACTTAGGGTCTTCTTTTCCCATTCTTCCTGTACCTCATAAACATCCGGATAAGTAGGATAGCAGTTTGCATAATGCTTATGCACATCAAATGTATGATTATGAATATGAACCATAAACATAGATACAGCATGACTGAAGTCACTAAAATGATTTTCCTAAAGCAATCTTGTCGCCCTCCTCTTCTTAATAAACTCTGATATCTTCCTATTGCCTATAGGATCAAATGCAAAACTTTCTCTTTGGCATTCAAAGTCCTTTGACCTCCCTGGCTTCCTTTAAGTTACAATTAAAATTCCATCTTCTACAGGAAGCCTTCCCCAATTCCTTTTAATTGTAGTGCCTTGCCTCCATTAATTATTTACTATTTATCCTGTCTATAATTTGCTTGGTTTATATTTGTTTGCATGTTGGCTTCCTCATTAAATTATAAGCTCCTTGAGGGCAGGGACTGACTTTTGTTTGACTTTTTGTTATCCCCTGTGCTTAGCACAAACAGTAGTAGTAGGTGCTTAATAGTTTGATTGATCTGGTGCAAGGTTGGATAAACTATTCTAAAATGACATAAAAATAAACAATACCAGAAGTTTAATTTTATGATGAGCAAAGGGAGTTAATTATATGTTCTCAGGCCTTACCTTTGCATATCCTGTAAGTTGAAGTGGAGGATATTAATAAATAGGAATAATAAATAAACATATAAATATTTAGCATTTGCTCCACTCCCAGTTTAGGTGGGTTATTCACTGGTCATCACCACTAAATCTTTAATTCCTTTGATATAATTTAATTTTTTTCAGGGATATTTAAATTGAGTACCAAAACCAGATTTAGGTAATTTTACCCATGTAATGGTAAGCCCACCTTTTAGTATGCTGGCTTTTCCTAGACATGAACAAAAGCATATTTTGCCTAGTACGAAAGTGTCCTTATATAGCACGAGCAGTGGTTGAATCTCAAATATTACTTGTCTTTTGTTTCTTCCCTCTTTGGAGCCCAAAACCACATTTCACATTTTCTTAAAAAGAAAAAAGAAAAGAAAAAGAAAGAAAAAAAACTATGTAAACCTAGAGAAATAAGTTTTCCCCCTCTTGGCTTAAGGAAGGGGGAGTGGAGTAGAATGTATGTATGTGTGTGTCCGTGCATGTGTGCATATACACTCACATACATACTGGAGGTAGAAATATAATTATTAAAGAATATCACTTGAAGTAATTTTGTATTAGTGTATGTTATTTATAAGTATAGCATGGCTTTGACTGGCCACAAAGGGCCTGGGAGATGTAATTGTTCCTGACTTGGGAAGAGTGGAAGCTAACACAAGATTGAGACTGTGGGGAGGCGTTCCTCCCATCTCCTTACAAAGGTAGCAACAATTTTGAGGGGCTTGTAAGAAAGAATGAGGGCAGGAGAAGAGAGGCATTGCAGATGTCTTTCTGGAGTATTGTAACCATGGCAGCTGGTGGCCATAAGGTTTATAGTTTGCATCTTTCAGACCATTAGAGATGTCCTCTTAATGGACAAATAAGGAAGTATACTACTATAATATTTAATGCTTATCACACAGTAGGCTCTTAATCAATGCTAGTTGACTTAGCCAGTCACTTGCTGTGGTAGCTGAAGAACTAAGAGAAAAACAACAGGAAGAATGGACTGTCCTTAATATACCCCTGCCTTAATTGTGCTTAATTGTGTTTTTTTAAATTATTACAGGAATTATTTCAGAGATTTAATACTTCTAATAAACATTTGTGGTTGACCCTGTCTTATTTGCCTGGTATCCCTTTGTTTGAGTCATGAGGGCATGAGATAGCCTCTGGGAATCACACAGGAGTGAGGGTTACTTCATCTAGTGCAGGACTAAGATCATATGCACAAGCTATTTAATTACTACACTTGCAAACACAGAATTATAATGAACTCAGGTGATTTAAAAACAAATGTGTCCCATAGAGAAGAGCTTGATAGTAAATATTAAAAGCTAGTAAATATTAAAAGCTCTCATTCCAGGCTAGGAAGAACTACTACTACTTCCAGGGTCTTTGTGACCAGCCAAAAGCCTTGCCAGAGGTTGTTATAAGCATAAGTTTCAATTATTTTTTTTAATGCCAAGAACCGTACTTTAAATCGTAGCAGCATATCCTCTCATTAATTTTTTTTTTATTTAAAAAACTTAAGGAAAAAAATCTCACTGGCAATGTAATAGTAGTATTTAAAGTTGCCACTATGCTTGGTCTCAGCTCTTCACTGCAGTTTCAGTCAACATTTATTTGTACAAGGCATTGCTCTAATCCCAAATGATACAAACAAAGACAAAAAGACAATAAAAAAGTCTCTGTCCTTAAGAAGCTTACATACTAAAAGGGTAGACACACTAAATAAACAGATAGATAAAAGATAAATATCAAAGTAAAAGGAAGGTAACCTTATAGGAGAAAGCACTATCAGCTTCAAGGAGGGATTGGGATGGAGGGACTAGGAAAGGTATGAATGAGTTGTTTTGAAGCCAGAGATGTCAAGTTAGAAGTGAGCAGGGACAGTATTCGGGCATGGAAGATAGCAAAGGTATGGATGTAGTTGAGGGGTTTCAGGTATGGGGAACAGTTAGTAAGCAAATATTGCTAGATCATAGTAATATGTGAAAGGAATGGAAAGGTAGGAAAGGGCCAGATTGTGAAGACCCTTAAATGCCAAGCAGAAATCAATATTTGATCCTCAAAACTTTAATAAAAAGAGGTTTACTTTGTTCTAATACAGCAAGGAAATGCAGTAAGGATACAGTTGCTCTTAGCTTCCCTTAACACACCCACATCTTTTGACCCTCAATGTGAAAATAGTCTGCAACAAGACAGTGTGTACTATGGGTGACTCCCAGGATCGTCAAAAAATCTGCTAAGTAGAAAGGATTTTAGCTGCATGTTGGTGGGATCTTTTAT